TGCTGAACTACAATCTACTTGTGGTTTTTGAACAGGTAATATGCAAACAGCACAAAAGTAAGCGTGCTAAACAACAGTGCATAAACTCCTGTTTTCCACATTTTCCTTCCTCATTTACACCTGATGTGTTCTTCTGAAGAAGATGGGAAATTTAGACTTACCTTGCTTTCACAGGCTGACAACTGGGCAGTTGAAGTAGTCAGAGCAGAACTCCAGGGTAATTTTGCATCTCTTGTTGCCAAAGATACTTAAAAAAGTATGTTCAATATGAAAGGTTTTATTCATGATTTGGAAAAAAAAAAAAATAGCCAGTGCCAGGTTGGGCATTTTTTTTTTATTGTTAAAAGATTAAAGCATAACATTTCACCAAATACAAGGAATTTAGGGGGTTTCCAACATTACAAACATCTGAATAATCAAGAGAAAGTGTTGAGCTATACACAGTCCGACGTTAATCCATCAAATTAAGGTATATTAGTACATGCTTAAAACATGGCCAAAATACAGGGTCACAAAATAAGTATCTTGATGCTTCTAAATCTGAGACGAGTCAGAGAACTGAGTGCAGCAAATTTCCAACGAATGACCAGACACTCAATTACAGCTTCAGGGCAGAGTTCTTCCAGAAGGATTGGTAGTTTCTCATGCCTGGCTCACTCACAATCAATTTGGTGAGAGTTTTGAGAATTTGATAAAAACATTTTGAAAAATACAACATTTAACAAACGTGTAAAAACAAGTTCAGGCTTCAAGGGAATATATGGATTCCCTCTCACTCCAGTCCTTAATTGCCTGTGTGTTTTACAAATCCTTAAAAAACTAATTTGTACCCATTTTGGTTTCAAAAACATAGTACATCTGAAAAATAAAATATGACTCTACTAATGGGTAATACAAAGACATGAAGACATATTTAAAATCACTTTCAAAAGTAAATCATTGCCATAATACAGCTAGAAGACAAGTTGAACACAGTACAATAAACCATGCATCTTCTGACTTGTCAGATCAGCTAAACTACTCGGTTAACACACAGCAACACTTTTGAACACTTCTGTAAATTCAGCTTTTCTAGCACAGGGGAAAACCCAGGTTAGATTTGCTCTTCAAGAGGTTCAAGGCTGTCCAAGTGTTTTTTAGGGGTCTCATCACTATGACGGTTTTGGCAATGGGTCAAATGTTTCTTAAAGCCTCGGGGGAAATTGGATTCAAAATTACAGCGCGGGCACTTCAGCAAGCTCTGACCGTGAGCAGCAACGTGGTTTTTGAGGAGAGACTCCAAGAGGAAAGCTTTGCCACAGATTTTACACTTGTACGGGCTCTGAACGTTGTGCTTGTTCACCAAGTGGTGCAGGACAGCACCTTTCTTCATTGCACGACAGCAACAGATCTTGCAATAATACTTTCCCTTGCCACGCTTCATGTACTTGGCTATTTCCTCCTCGGAGATGAAAGCCTCTTTCTCTTCAGTAAACTGCAGCACACAGGGCGGTTGCATGGGAGTAGCTGCATCTATTTTGCTCTCTTTGACATAATCAGATGACTCCAGGTCATACTGTTCTTGGTCACTGTTGGATTCTTGCTCCTTAATCTCCATCGAGTCCATGTCTGGTTTTCCACCCTCGCTGCTGTTTAGTTCTGAATCTGAGTTTTCCTGGTTTTCCTTCTTAGGTTTCTTTTTTGGGCATGAATACAGCATGTCTTCTGGCGATTCTTTGGCTAATACTGATTGTTCATCCTGTGAGAATAAATCATCCAGGGGTTTCGGATCATCTAAACTGTGAGAAAGAAAGTCACTCTCACCAGACTCACTTGGTGTCTGGGGCTCAGAGGAAAAACCTGGAGCAGACTTGTGAGGCTCGGAAAACAGGACGTTCTTCTGGATCTCAGGAGGTACAGCGGTTTCAGCATGTCTCTGGACATCAGAGGACAAAGCAGCAGCAGGCTTCTGCATCTCAGAAAATGCAGCATGCTTCTGAACATCAGGGGAGATGGCAGATTTCTGGGAGTCGGTAAAAACAGCTTGTTTGGGGGTCTCAGGAGAAACAGAAGGAGTGGGTTTCTGAGACTCAGCAAAGAAGCCATGTTTCTGAATTTCAGGAGATTTCTGAGTCTCTGGAAAGGCAGCATGCTCCTGAACTTCAGGGGAAATGGGAGCAAGCTTCTGGGCTTCAGAAAATAAGGCGTGCTTCTGGACCTCAGAAGGAACAGGAGCCAATTTCTGAGCTTCAGAACACAAGGCATGTTTTTGGCCTTCAGCAGAAACAGCAGAAGTAGATGCCTGATTCTGGGGCTCGGAAAAGATAGCACGTTTCTGGACATCAGCAGAAACAGCAGGACTGGACTTACGAGACTCTGGGAACAGAGCTCTTTTCCGAGGCTCAGGGAAATGAGCCCGTTTCTGAACCTCAGATGAAGCAGCAGAGGTGGGTTTCTGAGTTTCAGAAAAATACGCAGATTTCCGGGACTCGGAGAGTTTCCAAGATTCAGGAGATCCTGCAGCACCAGGCTTACGGACCTCGGGAAAGAAAGAAGGCTTCCAGCAGTCAGAGGAAACGGTGTGACTAGGCTTTCGAAGCTCAGGAGAAACAGGGGCAGAATGCTTCCACGTGTCAGGGGACAGAACAGGTTTCCAGCCTTCGGGGTAAACAGATGAGATGGGCTTCCACGGCTCAGAAGAAATCAGAGTGGACTTCTGGGACTCGGAAAAGGACGTGGATTTCCAGGAGTCAGAAACAAACCTCCTCGGCTCCGGTGACACAACGGGGCCGGGCCTTCGGGACTCCGGGGCAGACCTGCGGGATTCGACGGACACTGACATGGCAGGTTTGGGAGCCCAGGGAGAGACCGTGGAAGACTTCTGCACCTCGTGAGGCGCCGCTCTCCAGGGCTCAGGGGAAACGGTGGGACCAGGCCTCCACGGCTCCGGC